GCTGGATCCTTCCCTGACTTCATATCACGTCTTTCAGAAGAAAGTTTTTTTTCCAAAAAGGTTTCTTTCTCATTGTGTTAGCTATTATCGTTAAGAAGTCAATTATACTCACTTAGTTCATCCGTCAGCACAGCAAAACCACTGCCACAAATACCTAATCAAGTACACCACAAGGACAATGTTAATCAATACCTTGCTATGCCTTGTTATGCCGTACTATCCTGTGAATGTCAAAGTTCTCCATAGTATATTTTGCAATCCAGAAACTATCTTGTTTTATACTTCCCTTTCGGTATATAATAGGCGAATAATAATAATAATAATAATAATAATAATAATAGGCGAATAATTTGTTTATACATTTCGGTTAATTAGCATAATTAGCATATCATTAGCATGAGCATTAACGTTTTAACCTAACTATCAGTAAATCAGCACTGAATATTGAAACAACCTTGCACAATAAGCTTTCCTCGCAGCTTTTTTATAGATATATAGTATAGCAGTGTTTCGTTGTACTATCCTGTCCTAATCGTATCAAACATGCAGAATCATTGTGTCTTTTAGTCCTAGAGTACAAAGGTTGAGCTCACCTTGTATGAAGTGCAATGGGGCCTCAGGATACTCAGCTACGCAAGCACCACCGAAATATTTGTTTCCAAAATTCTCTGGTGTGAGATATGTTCCGTACCTTAACATACCAACTTCAAACGGTGACAGTTCAAGCCAATCTTCAAAACAGAAGACATTAGATTAAAAGAAAACACAGCTATAAAGACGATGTCATAAGAGTGGAAACGAAAAAAAAGGGAGGAAGGGAGAGAGGGAGGGAGGGAGGGAGAGGGGAAGAAAGGAAAGTGGAAGCGGAAAGAGGAAGGGCAAAGGAAAGGAAAGAAAGGAGGAAAAGAAAAAAGAAACGATCGAAACAATAACAAAAAATCAATAGGAAGAAAGCAAATTAAACTATAAATGCAACGTCAAAAAACAAAAACAAAACAAAACAAAAAAACAGCCAATGACAACAAGAAAATGTTTCCTAGTTTGTACAATTACCCTCCAGCAATGACGTACTATATTCTAACGATATTTATAGATATGATGACGTACCATGAAAGACTTCAGCGCCGACGTCATTCTTGACGTGGATACAAGCATACAAAGGCATGGGTACAGTTCCATCTTGGAAAGTCTTCTGCTGACTGCTTAACAAGGGATTGTCTCGCTATGAAATACAATCAGAAACCGTATGTATATACTTTATTTAACACTATATTTATAGACGATTTGCAAAAAAAGGAAAACAAGGTCAATTGTCTCCTTCACGGTTCCCTGCGCCATCTTGAAAGGTAGCCGTGCCTTTACATCGAAGCGAGACGCCCATTGAGCGTGTAATGATAGAAACCTTCTTTCACACCTACAGACAATACTCCGATTTCGAGTTCTGGTTTGCTCTGTGTTAGCCTCAAAACCAAGCAACATATTCTTTTGTTTCATTGATAGACCCTTGATAGCCCGAGAAAACGCATGGAATTTGAAAGGAAAGACAATGGAATTGATTTGAAATCTCACACTTTTATTCTCACAATTAGGAATATTTTGCGCACAAATGAGGCTAACACAGAGCATTGGAGAATTCGAAACTGGATTATTATTCAAAGGTATCTATCATAGCACGCTCAACGGTTGTCTCGCTTCGATGCAAAGACACGGCTATCTTTCAAGATGGCGCAGGGAACCGTGAAGGAGACTATTGATCTTTTTTTCTATTTTGAAGAATCGCCTATATACATACGATTTTAAAATAGTATTACACTCACATCAGCAAGTAAAGTATCTCCTAGGAGATAGCCAAAGAAATCCGTATAACTGATTGGTTCTCCTCGCCTTTTTTTTTCTTTGATGTCAGAAATACGTTTCTTCAGCCAGGCCGGATTAAAGATAAGACGAGCAAAGCTCTTGTCCACACTTTTACGAAGTTCTTTGTTGACTTCAACAGGGTGAATCTTAGGCCAGTTAGGATGGGAATAAAGTGTTGAGATGTACCTAAGAGATGAGAAGATGGACGAAGAGTTGATAACAGACTGCAATAACATCTGTAGCAGCAACAACAACAGAGCAGCAACAACAATAGCAACAGCAACAGCACATACTCTGACAAATTTATGCATGCCATTGTATTGTATTCTATTGTATTGCGTCGTTCTTAAAAGAGTTGTATTGTTGATCTATTGTTATGTGGATATAATACAATACAATACTATGCATAAATTTGTCAGAGTATTGGACAACACTCCAACAGCACCACTAACAACAGCACCAAAAACATCACAAACTGCAGAAAAATAGCAGTAAGAATAACATCAGAAAAAAAGACAGTAGTACAAACGAAGCCGCAGGAACAAGATCAAAATCGGCATCAACAATAACAATGGCCCAAAGCTGCATGAGCAAGAAAATTGCAGCAGCAGCTAGAAAGTACTGCAACAGCTGAAAAAGTAACAACACATGAACAATACCTATAATACAATAACAACAACTAAAACACCACTAACAAAAAAAACAACATCAGTAATGACAATTCCCATAAGCAACAATAATAACAACAACACATACCATGTAGACCCAGATACCCCAGCAAAGTACATGGAGCAGTCTACGATTCCAATGTCCTTGAGAGCACAAAATGTCCCACTCAACGCTGTCATGGCACGATATCCCCCACCTGAACCAAGGATAGCAACGGTAGGAACCTGGGAACGAATTAAGTTTTCAGAATGATTGAAATGACGTCATATTTGTTGTAGCAAAGTGCATCATGGTATTGATATTGCTCTAAGATGGCGGATGTCTTGTAAAATCTTCTTTGGAGAAACTTGTTTTACGAAATTAGAAAGTTATCGGTCATCGGGAAAGGTTTGGAAGCAATAATATTTACAAAAAGTACCTCATTGATGTTTTTTGGGCCCTTTTCAGCAAGAACTTCTTTCATAGTGTTGAACACAAACTCTTTTCTCTTCTGGCGAAATTCTATTTCTTTGTCACTGATTTTTGTGCTCAACCGAACACCTTTTGGTATCTCAGTGCTGAGAACAATGCATAAATAAAAAAAGAAAGAAATAGTTAGTTAAAACGTCGTTGTTTATGATATCATACAAATAACGATATAGACTATAAGGGGACTAGAGAAAGAGTACTTACAAAGACAGACAGACCGAACTACTATGACTCACCATTTCGCAATGTGGATTTTGATGAACACATGAATAGTCTGAAAATGCATTCATAAAATGACTGAATGATTGATGGATGGATGGATGGATGGATGGATGGATGGATGGATCGATTGATTGATTGGCTGATTGATCTTTCACCTTATTAAAGACGAGATCTTGTTCATGGTCAATGTCGTACTTAAGGTTGTTCAAGTGAACGACGATAGTCTGGCCAAGTGGGTCGTGAAAAACAGGATCCTCCTCCATCAGTGTCACATCTACATTAAAATGAGTGGATGCACGAGATGAAGGAATGAATGGAAGAATAAATCAATGGGAAAATTAAAGAGTGAATGGATGGATGAATAAACTGGATGAAATCCATCCTGATGTGCACCGCGATCGATCAACGTAGCTATACATGCATGTAAACGAAGCGCCAGCTCCATGCCTATGTGAAAATATCAGTAAAACTCGTCTTATTGGCAATTGGAATTGAGAGAGCGAGCTACGTCCTTCGTAATTTAAAGGGACATGGTCTACCAGCATTCAATGCGGTCTTGTTTTAGATTTTTCATATAAATTCCACACAAAAAAAGTTTATAATGTATTCCTGGGATTGGATACGTACAATAAACCAGCCAAAAATATCAGTGATTAACTGATCACATTAAAAAAACACGCTATAATAAAAACGCTATAAAAAACGCTATAATAAAATCTTTATCATATGCCGTTTACGAGTAAACGTTTGAGCGTGTTTGAGCCTACAGTGGCCTCGTAATTGTCCGGCTCGTCCTAGTAATCGCTCAAAAACGCGTCAAG